ATCCATCGAATCGCGGAAAACCGCTGACAATTTTGCAATTCAAACCACTTCACCCGCTATTTAAAGCAGCCTTGTTCGACTTCATCTTTCCACGATTATTTCTCGTTATAAGACTCCGAATTAAATCACGGCGTCTTGCCCATCATTCTAGTCCGTGCTGATCCTATTGCGCAGCATTCTGGGAAATTATGCACGTAAAGACGGAGGCGTCCGGCGCATATAAATGAATAAAAAAATTACATTGTAGAAGAGGCACGTTGCAGCGTGGAAGATGATTGTGAGAACGCGGCCGGGAATAGTTCGCACAATTAATAACTGAATAGAATGAATAGCAATAAAAAAAGAAGAAAAAAACTAGGGGAAGATCGGCGCGAGATAACTCCGCGAGCGGAAACGTCGAGACTCGAACGGGATCCTGCGTTAATAAGAACACGGATGAGTGTCTTTAAAAACTATCCCCGAGAATTTCAGGCATAAAGTTGCTCCGGCTGCTCGAAATAACTCCCAGGCGGCGTAAATATCGTTGAAAATTCCCTAAAACTGTACTCGACATTTTTTTAAGGCGCCGGCTACGAGCGAGAGCGAGAGAGAGAGAGAGGAAGAGAGGCGGAAACTCGGATAACGCCGGGACGGGGAGAAATTCTTGAGGAACTTGCGGGAAACTCTCTTATCGACAGTTACGAGGGGACTTCTTTAAACTTCGTTGCTTCTTGGAGATCACCGGAGAAAAGTTGCCGACGAATGGACGGGAAGGATAATCCGCGATGAGACGTAAAAGAATGAAACCTAATTGAAGAGTGCCTTCAATTCCTACGCGCGCCTTTTTTATCTGCCAAAAACGACTTTGTAATCTCCCGGCTGGAACTCGAGAGTATAATGCCTTCTACCGAGGATCCGTAACGCGATCCGTACTTTCGCATTTTCGAAAGGATGTAACTTTCTGCCATTTGTAACAATGGCTCCACTGCTATTAACGTTTCGATCGTGAGCAACGAACGCTGCCATGTTACTAAAAATAGTGTAATCGCGTTCGTGAGTAATAATGAGAATTATTATTATGATTATTAGGCTAAGGGTTCCATGCGTTTATTAAAAAATTGGTCATGTAACATTTCCAACAGCGAAACGATGTAAAAAATTTAAGAACATTAATACGTCGTTTTCGAGCTATTATTACTCGTCATAAGACAAATTGTTGCGATATTTTTAGTAAGAATAGATTCGTCAAAAACAGCTAACTAGTTAAGAAATATATTATTATAATATTTTTATTATATTAATAAATATAGTTATAATCATATAATTATATAATAATATATTATTATTAATATATACTAATATATATTCTTTATTAAAAAATATATTTCATAAAAGCGTTGTATTTGAAGAAAATATCGAAGCAAAAAAATATATTCAGTATAATTACAGTAACTTACATACTTTTTAAAGAAGTTGCAGCAGCTAACTGATTAACAAAAGAAAGAAAACTCATTAACGAAAGAAAGAAAGTTCTATGCAGCTTCTGCATGTTGCAATTGATGCATACAAATTTGATTTTCCACAAAGATCCACAAATCTCTGTAATCAATTAAATAGATCATTATAATAAATTTGAATAGATCATTAAATTGAATAGGTCATTATAATAAATTGAATAGACCATTTTAATAAATTGAACAGATCATTATAATAAGCGAAAAGCTTGTTAAAATTACTAAGAAAATATAAACGTCTATATTACGCACACATAAGAAAAATATATTATTATTAATAGAACAACTGTCGCGTTCTCTTGTAAATCGTCTCAGCCGCGAACAATCGAACAGAATCACCGGAATAAATCGCGTGGATCACGCGACGCGAACGAAGTCGGTTAATCGTATGTTCCATTCTTTTTCCTTCCGATTCGAATAAAAAATTCTGTTCACGGTCGAGCATGTCGCGAGTTTAAATAGAAACTGTTGGCCCCGGATTTGCCGGAGTCTGGTCTAGTTCGGCGCACGTTTCGTGCGGCGAGATAAGAAAACGGATCTCTCTAATTCTCGCGCTGATTTCTAATTTGGATGGAAATTCGGTGTAGATCCGATCTGCAAAAGCGGCGCCATTGCGTGCCGTCGAAAATTGTTTCGGTCTCTCCGTGACCGAGGGAATCTCGAGCTTGTTCTATATTATGCCTCCTCGCCTGTTACTGTTCCCTCGGTTTCCTAATTTCTGTTTGCTTTGGCGCGCGGCGCGCGCAGAAACAGCTCGCGAGTACGCTCGGCGTTCTTTCAACTAGGAACTGGGAATACGAATTACTCTGATCAGCGTGTTCTTTATGCAGTTTCTGTGGAACGGCAGCTCCGATCGCGGGCAAACGGATGCGGCGTACGGACCTGTAATCGATCTCGAAACGAAAGATTGCAACAACTTCGCTGCGCAAATTTTCTTTAGAATCTCAGCGAAGCTAATTTTTCTTTTTTTATTAATTTTTAACGTTTATTTCTGGTACAATATGGTCGAGTAAATTTTGCTGAATATAAAATTCTAGTTTCAATTTCATTAATTAAAGTGCAGCAAATTCTGCACAATTTTCTTTCAGCTTGTAAACAAAAATGAACAATTTGGGAGATACGATTATTCGATTATCGATACGATTATACGATGTACGATTATAATTGCCGATTGTGAACAATTATAAAAACGAGGCGCAAGGCTCGAATAACCTCCTTTTCCCAAATTGTCCATTTTTGTTTACAAGCTGAAGGAAAATTAGGGAGAATTTTCTATGGTTTTTAATTTTGTAGATGCTTTTCGGCTTGATTTTCGGCATTTAATGTTCTAGAGATTTCAGTCGACAGATATTAGTCAAAAAGAAATCGCAGACGTATTCAATTCTTTTTTCAAATTCGTCAAACTCTCGCATACTTTTGTATGCACATGTATACCGAAAGTGGAAACGGACAGCCATGGACAGACGCGTCGGTCGATTTTCATTCAACAGCACGCGCGGTTCGCAAATATTGAAACTAATTTGTCTTCGACACAACGCGGCACACGCGGAAAGCTTTTATTCCGCTCTGTTCACTTATGTTTTACCAAAAAATTCGTTCATCGATTCAAAGCCTGTTAACGCTTCGGGTGCGTTCGGATCCGTAATGTAAATATCGTTATTTCACCATTTAATATATTGGTACCATAGTTGTTATACTGTTATTACAGTTATGCTAGTTATAGTAGTTATACTGGTATTATAGTTATAGTTATACTAGTATTATGGTTATACTAGTATTATGGTTATACTAGTATTATAGTTATACTAGTATTATGGTTATACTAGTATTATGGTTATACTAGTATTATAGTTATACTAGTATTATGGTTATACTAGTATTATAGTTATACTAGTATTATAGTTATAGTTATACTAGTATTATAGTTATAGCTATACTAGTATTATGGTTATACTAGTATTATAGTTATAGTTATACTCGTATTATAATTATAGTTACACTAGTATTATGGTTATACTAGTATTATGGTTATACTAGTATTATGGTTATACTAGTATTATAGTTATACTAGTATTATAGTTCTAGTTATACTAGTATTATAGTTACAGTTATACTAGTATTATAGTTACAGTTATACTAGTATTATAGTCATTTTAGTATTCTAGTCACTATAATTAAACCAAAATAACCAAAAATTCCCTCAACATCAAAGTCATCTGCTTAATAAAACAGAAACTAAAAGGCAGAATTTGGCATAAACCCAAGGCCGACCCAATTAATTCCGCGACGTTCTCGATCGGATCGAAGCGACAGTGATTCGACTGGCATTGATTGACGCGGCTCGTCGACGATGAACCAACGATTCGACCGCGGGTGCAGTCGAAGAATCGATGCGGCCGAAGAATGGGTGCCGAGAGGCGCGGGGGTTCGAGAGGCTCGCATTAATCATGCGAGATTACCCCGGCCGGCACTGTATTTCCCGCTTTTCCACTCTTTGCCCGCGGTTGTTTTTGTCACGATACTTTATCGGCTTGCAAATGGAGGGCGGCGGAAAAGGGCCGGCAACGTCAGACGCAGAGACCAACAACCGGCCTGTCGTACATCATTCTCTCCACCCTCGCGCGGCCGCGATCGCGCCCACAATTTCGAATCTGCCGTCGCGGTGCTCCGCCGGCGTTCGCCGGAGAAACAGATTAAAATGGAATATAAACGGGATTATATTCGAGGCATCCGCGGACGCCGCCGCGAATTTATGCGCCTCCGCGGGATTACGCGTCCTTGCCGATGGTTTTTCTCCAGCACCCTACCGACGCGGACGATTCTTTTTCTTAAAGATCCAGCCGCTTGGGTCTCTCGTTCGTTTTTTATTCAGCATTTGTATACTTGAAAGCTGGTTTGAATATGGTTGAAGCGATTGTTTAACGCTAAAGCTACCGCCGCCGGTCAAACGACCGGTTTCGCATTTTTGATTTCATAATTATCGAAGTCGCGCGAAGCTGCTTCCGAAATTGTTAAATTTATTTCTCTATTCGGAGACACGCTGTTATCAAAATCGCGAAGAACTCGAATAAATTCGTATAAATTCCATCTCTTTGTGTAATTCTTACGGTAGTAAAATCAATTTTTGTTAGTCGCTTTCAGGCCTCGGCAATGTGCGAATAGAAAAAACAAGAATTTGTAACATTTTTGCAACTCGTAGATTCCGACTCAGTGCTTAATTTGTTCAGTTGCTTATTTGTTGCATATTTGTTCGCGTGCATTCGTTGCTTATTTCGACGATTTCATCTGTTCTTTGATACAAAATTCCTTGCAACGATGAAAAATTAATAAGATTTGACGAGAATATACGATAAAGAACGTAGGAATCGTACACCAAGTTTTATATATAAATTCAATCATGTCAATCATGCATTTGTCGCGTTTGCGACTCGGCAGTTCTAGCGTTAAGAAATAGCAGAACGATCTACGATGTACACAGAAGAGATCATTACTTCGGCATCGACTTACCTTATTGATCTGTCGTTGAAGTTTCGTGATCGTTGCTCGATCTCGTTGCGCAGCGAGTCGTTCCGCTTGTAATGCTTGTTCCAGTTCCTGTACCCGTTCCTCCAGGCTTTCCTGCGACAATAAATCATTTTCAATGAATAAACGTACACGCGTTCTGTCCACCGTATAAATCTTCGGGCGAAAACACGCGACAGAATTCCTGTCACGGAATAACTAGTATCACACAACCACGGTATTGCGCAAGTTTAAAAAAAAAAATCGTGCAAATTCTCTAAGTTAATTGGAGCTAATATAAGTCTGATAAAAAAATGACTTTTCTCTTGCAACGTCATTGAGAATGATACGTTGAAAAATATTCCCAAATTCTTCGAATGTTTTCACAGTTTCGTATTCGACCTAGAAATTTTACGCAGAGAACGCATAGAAAATCATAAATATTATTTGTTCACAAAGACTTTTCACAAATATTATTATTTTATATAACTGCTTTTATTTTCTAATTTATTGTATTCAATAATATTATATATATATTATTATATATTTAATATATTACTTATTAATATATTATACATTATTATATATTAATATATATTAATTATCGTATATAATTAATATAATAATAATAATATATATTAATTATCATGTATAATTAATATATATTATTATTATATTATTAAATTTATTAATATCATATTATACTATATTTAATAATTTATTATTAATTTATGCTACTCTCTTAACATTGCAATTACAAAATCTCGTCGAACAGCGTCTCCAAAAAACCGAATACACTCGAATCGTCGCGAATTCGCTCTCTAAATAATTCGGCGAAAGTGTCGCAAGTGGCCGGATTATTATTCCGACATCGGCCTAACGTTTTTCAGCGACCATAAGCGCGCGAGATGCGCGATGCGGCCAGAATCGCCGCGCCGGCACGGCTGGTATTTCCTCGGTTTCGGGAATCCGAATCGGCATTCCGCATTCTCGTAATCTCTGAGTACACAGAACGGCGTGATCTCCCGAGGAACTTTAAGCCGCTGTTAAGGCAGCTTAAAACTCGAGCAACAGGAATTACGGGGAACATCCTGCTGAAAGTTACAGGGAAAGTTTCGGGGTTCCGTTGCGTTTGCGGCCGCGAAAGTTAATTGAGAAACGGTCGACCGTAAGCTTCCGATCTATGCGCGATCCGGGATCGAACTGTTCGCCGGGGCGAACTGCGCGTTCGAGATAACTTCGGCGAACTCGAGCGAACTCGCGTGCGTGAGTTCCGAATGGGCCACCACGTTTTCAACCTCAGACTTCATAAATGATCGGCGGTCCAAGCGGTCCGGAGATATCCGACTGCGAAGCTTCGCGATCGTCTCGCGAGTTTTTCAGACTTTCCGCGCGAAATGCCTCGATAATTTCACGAGATTGAACTGTCTTATTAACCCTTCGCACTCGAAGCTATTTTAATTATAATTTAAACATATTTTCTGATCTACGGTGTTTCTATTTTATATGATTTATTGCGATTTACGCATATGAAAGCCTATTGGCAAGCACGAAACTCGCAATTTTAAGAGTCGTTTAGATATAAACGAGTCTGATACTGTTTACAATTATTTTGAAAAATAGTATAGCCATTTTTAGTGGCGCCCCAGAGTCACCATTCGAGTGCAAAGGGTTAAATGAAGTAGAAATTGCATAGCTATTTTACGTGTGGCAGCCAAATACTCCTTCAACGTTCGTGCCTCTTGCAAGTCTTAAATAAAATGAAGAAATTGCAACGTCGATGAATGAAATAATCTCGTAAAAATTAATTTCCAAAAATTATCTTCTAAACAATTCTGTCAGCCAAAAACAGACTGACGGAGCCTTGTCCAGGCAGAAAAAACTGACCAGCAATTTCGGCCGATGATGTCCAAGAAACCAGGTGTTTCGTTCGGCTAGGCCGCGATGCATTCGCCGCGGTGAAATGGAGCGGTAACAATGAGAAGGCAGGATTTTCCGCGAGGAGCATTCGCATGCAAACTAGCCGGGTTGTTCGGGAAATCGTCGACTGGTTGTTCGCGTTTCCCCGAAGGCAATTCGAATTTCTGTCCAATTTACGTGTTTCGGGCCCCGGGTATTTCTGATTATCAAGAGCGTTCATTGAATCCGTTCGAGCGGAATGGTAATGAGTGCCGGTCTAGAGGAGAGAGAGAGAGAGAGAGAGAGAGAGAGAGAGAGAGAGGAGAGGGCTGTTGGTCGCGATTTGACCGTAAGTATCGGTGCAATCCATTAGATCCGAGGCGACGCCGCGCCTCGGCGACGGGTTTGAGGGGCCCTCGAGGCGGCCAACGACGCCTCGGCAGGCACCGCGCGGGGATCATTCGTATGCGGGGGCACGTAGCTGCAATTCACCCTTTCTAACCCCTCGGCGAGTCCACGTTTTAGTACTCCAGGCCGCACCGCGCCGATCCACGAGTACGCCTGGCTATTGTTTGCCGCGAGCAAGCCGAATTATACCGGGTGGCGTTCTTCCGACCGCGACCGACTGACCGGCCCTTCTTACGCACGATCTCCGACCAAGAAGTTTGCGTTCTGTCGGTCAACAGCGAGCAGCTGACGATTTTAGTCTGTTTCGAAGCAGGGGACGTAACTGTTTTAATCGAAAAGAAAAAGAGACGCCAGTGTTATTACATCGATTGAGGTCGTATTGCTTGCAATTAAGGATTACAAAGGAACGGAAATATTTTCTCTTCCTGGTAAAGTTTGAGAGAAATTGTTCACAGGAATTGATTTTCGTCGTTTATAACAGCTGTCCATGAAAGAAGTTCTTTGGATTGCTTGGAATTGTTATTGATGAAGGAAATTCTTTAATAGTTATTATATTATTATATTGTATAGTTACTATATTATTATATTGTATGGTTATTATATTATTATATTATATAGTTATTATATTATTATATTATATGGTTACTATATTATTATATTGTATGGTTATTATATTATTATATTATATAGTTATTATATTATTATATTATATGGTTACTATATTATTATATTGTATGGTTATTATATTATTATATTATATAGTTATTATATTATTATATTATATGGTTACTATATTATTATATTGTATGGTTATTATATTATTATATTATATAGTTATTATATTATTATATTATATGGTTACTATATTATTATATTGTATGGTTATTATATTATTATATTATATAGTTCTTTTATATTATTAACTATTATATAGTCATTATATTAAACAGTTATTAAACAGCAACTATTAAACAGTACAACATTCAAGCAATAGACAATCGATTATTTAACGAATTTCTATACCACAGGTTCGAAGAAATTTTAATTGGTACCCGCAGCGAAATCACAGCACACCCTGTATAAAGTCGCAAGGAGCCTCCGTTGACTCCTGCGTGTGCTTGTAAATCCGTATTAAAGGGTTCCCAGAATGACCATGGCTGACATTATCGGGAAAGTATTGGTTTTCCTTGGATTAATGGCGCGGTCCGCGTCGTGAATAATTATGAGCCCGTCAGAGCAGAACAAACAAGAGAAGATTTAAAGCTTGTTCACCCCTGTCGTGTATTTTATACTAAAGGCGCAGTGCTTTCCTCCCTCTTGCGCTTTTTCACGTTGCATCGAAAACATGGTTCGTTTCGGTCCATTTTATTCGATTATACGTATTTACATATTTTTCACGATCGATTACGCATATTTTCCTAAAGCACGCTGCAACAATTTTAAACCGTGATTGAAACCGTATTAATCGATGTAAATATTATATAAATAGATATAAATAGAGACCGTATTATCTAATATTGAGGTGACTGATGTTGAGACAATATTACTCTAATTATTGTGTAACTTACGAACACTTAAGTCGACGGAACTTATTTTATAATAGTTAACTTAAAAATGTTTGCTTCTATCGCTTATTTTATGAAAATCTTGCAGCTTCTATCTTACAAAGCATAAACGCATGAAGATCGGCAGTCCATTTGCAACTGAATAAAAATGTTCAAGAACCTATCAAGCGCAGAAATGTGATTAAATAAGTAATCAAAGATCGAGTAGAATATAATTAAAAGTCTGCGAAAAATATAATTAAAAGTCAGCAGATCTGCTCGACAAGAAACCAATTCCATTGCGTCGTGTCCCAGATATTCGGAACGCGGCGATTAATGCAAGGTGCTGAAACCGCGCTGCGTGTCGTGCGCTTGAAATCGCCCGATAATATCAATGATTAATTAAAACGAGGCATAAGAGGAAGCAGTGTTCCGCGGTCCGAGTATCGCGCGCGTTTAAGAAACGACGTTCCCGCGCGATTCCAGCAAGCTGTCCCCGTCCAGAGAGAGAGAGAGAGAGAGAGAGAGAGAGAGAGAGAGAGACCCAGCCCTTGTCTTGAACCCTTCGGGATGGACGATAGGGGACGCGTCACTCTATGCACGGGATCCATTCGAAGACCCATAGAATTAGTGCGGGGACTTCCGGGACGTCATTTAAAGTACAGAACCGTCGCGATGAGCCCACTCTATATGCAGAGATTCCGTTAAATTGCAAACGCCCATTTTCCAGGGTAGGGACGTGAACGAGAACAAGGGTAAGGGCACCGTCCGCGCCGCCCTCGAGTAATCAGACGGTTAACTCGATCCAGGGAACGTTTACGGGACGACAGCTCGAGCCGATTTTCTTATGCCCCGGAGAAAACCTCGTGCACTACTAACTGCGCCTCTCTCCCTCTCCCTCTCTCTCCCTTCCTCTCTTTTTCTCTTTATCTCTCTGTTTCTCTGTCTGCCTCTTTGCTTCTCTGTTTCTCTCTCTCTCTCTCTCTCTCTCTCTCTTTCTGGCTCTCTGTCTCACTCTTTGCCTCTTTGGCTCTCTCTCTCTCTCTCTCTCTCTGTGCCTCTCTGTATCTCTCTCTCTGCCTCTCTAGCTCTCTCGCCCTATCTCTCTGCCTCTCTAGCTCTCTCTCCCTTTCTCTTTGCCATTCTAGCTCTCTCTCCCTTTCTCTTTGCCATTCTAGCTCTCTCTCCCTCTCTCTTTGCCACTCTAGCTCTCTCTCCCTCTCTCTCTCTGCCTCTCTAGCTCTCTCTCCCTCTCGCTCTGCCTCT